GGGGGGGGGGGGCGGCTTTGAAAATTTCGAGAGGGTTCCCTTAGCCCTACCTAGTAAAACACTTCCGCGAATCTAAACTAAGATCCTTATTTTCCTCAATTTTATGCTGACAATTTGAAGAATTAATACAGTATTTGGGCTAGCGGCTCTCGGAACCATTAGGCTCCATCGTTCAACCATAAAATCAATTGAATATTTAATTGAATTGATTGAATAGCCAATGGTTCTGAATAAAATCAATTGTATTTATTAATTTATCATTTAAGTTATATTTACATTTTTGTAATGTGCTTCATTATTTCTTACTAAATGCCGTAGTATAATGGTTGAGAATAAAATAAATTATTTATTAATTGTATCATTTAAGTTGTTTACATTTTTGTTATGTGTTATTTTATTTCATAGGAAAATAAAGTTTAAAGGAAGAGACTGCCCAGAATTCTAGTCGCTCTTGTTTTAGTCTGCACTCGGCTATGATCTCTGCTATTCCGTTCTACAACCGAGATTCAAATTTGTTTTTAAATAGTTTATATTCTGTTAGCCAGACTTTTGCTCAGTTCTTTTAGGAACTTGTTCTTTGTAGTTGCTTGTAGATCAGTTGCGCGTACGCCTAGTCGGTTAAAATGACCAGTTGCAATTTTGTAATGAGATGGCAAGCACATGCCGGCAAATATCAGTGGTGATAATGTTTTAAGGGAATTTTATTCGAAATTGTTTATGAAATGGCAGTGTATCGTAAACAGCCAATAAAATGTACACGGTTCATCCAAATAATATTTCGTATGAGATGGCAAGGAGCATGAAATTAATAAATATTGCAAAACAGCATAAATATTGCAAACATCAACAAATTTGTTGAATAATGATCTAAAAGCCTGGACAGTGAGCACAATGAGAGCACATAATTTTTTGAATAGGCATCCTATAGAAAGAAATATTAAAAATTAGTAGAGGAGTCACCAGATTGATACAGAAATGAGTTTTAAAAATTTGACGAAACGTTGTAGAAGCTTTTTTACGTGCGTCTTCCAAACAGTCGCTGTTGATCAGAAGACCTAAACCCTTGGTTCAACTTTGTGTGACCTCGTAAATTTGCGAAGATATTTATTCATGCCTAGTCACATTGAAACGCTGTTTAACCAACATTTCTAGTCAGGCAGTAATAAAAATAATGTATGTAAATAGTATACAATGCATCAATGCATGCGGTATATATTTCGTTTTAGTCAGTGACCAAATTACAGGAAGCTTCAGAAATACTGTACGGTCACCCGACTTCTCTCCCTTTATCACGTCCAGAGAAACGGTTCCCAAGAGTTAAATGCCCGGAAAATCATCTCGCTGAAGATCTAAATTGAAAAAATTTCGCGTAAGAGAATACTAAAAGCTCGATAGGACGTGAATGAGTGGAGCCTTCTTTTTGAATCTCATACATGATAATTTTATACATCTAACTTTTCCATTGGTCTGTCTTGTCTTACCGCGGCGAAAATGTAAATAGTGTTCTTGAAAAGGAGCAGCCCTGGGTGGCATCTGGTCAACAGAAAAAGCTGCGGTATATGCACCTTGCGTGGGGTTTCTGCCTTTTTTATACAGTTTTTTCCTCTATACTAGGGTTCGTTTCATTGAAGAAAAAATCCGTTATCCGTTCTTTTTGTTTTTTCGAGCACCGATAGGTTATCCCGAGACTCATAGGAACACCAAAAAACTCGTCTCTTACTTTGTCAGGGCGGGGACTTTTGAATTTTGATATCTTCTCGTAACAGCTTTGACGTAAACATTATTTGGCCTATACCTCTATCGAAAACGGTGCATCATAGCGAAAAACCTTAATACATTCGAAAAACAAACTGCCAAAATTGGCAATGAGGATGTTTGCTTTAGAATTATACGAATTTTCGCATCTCATCTTCAGCCTTAGTTATTTGGTAACTAAATTCGAAAATTTTCAAAAGACGCGATTTATTTTCTACAGAATTTGTTTTTCGTGCTTGAGTTCTCGTTTTTCAACAATATCCTCACAGTAAAAATCGTGGAGAAATACATTACCTTTAAAATGAGTTTTGAAGTAGAAAATGCTATTTCATGTTCAAATTATAAAAATACTTTTTAAGAATTTTAATATTTTGAGAGTTCCGATTTTGGCGTGCCTTAATCACAAAGTCGACATTTTAGTCGTATTATCGCGTACTTTTCTATATTTTGCGCTTAAAAAACAACAAAAATGCTGGTTAGATCCCAAACATCCTTGTCTATCAATGTTAAAAATATTAAGTAATAGAGAATGTTCTATTATTTGACGAGCTTTTTTTCGCAATTCTGTCAAAATAAAAAAATAAGTGGCCTTATTTTTGTCAAAACCAATAAGAAACTGCAACCCATACCGACTGATCTCATACGCCTAGTCACTATAGTTAGTATATGATGTTGATACAACAGCCCTGCTGCAGGTCAGGTGCTCTGTCAAACCCGAAGAAGCCTCGATTGTGCGATTCATTTGCGGAGAAATGACATCATAATATTTTAACATAAATTTAAATTATTTAGAAATGTTACAGATATATGGATTAATTTAAGACTTTTGTAGAGTTCCTTTATTTAACTTCAATTTTTTGCTGGCTTAAGCGAATGTTGTGTGTAGTGTTTTACTCACTCTTTCTTTATGTTTGGGACTGAACGAACCCAACCCCAGGGGCATGTTTATGCTCTGAACGCAGCGAGCTTAGTTTTTGAAAATCAGGAAAATTGTTAGTCCCCACTCGAAGGGTTCTAGAGTTCTTGAAACCTTTTAAAAATAGCTTTGAAGAAAGTAAAATACCACCGCCAACTTCACGCTTTGTGCCCAAAAGGTTAATATTGTGTAACAGTTGTGACTATGCATCTTGTTTTTCTTTCTTGCTACTGCTTATGCAGTAGAGAGAAAGTTATGCTGCGCGAAAAAACGGAGTGTTTTCGGCAGAAAACGCTTATTACAGGGCCGTAGCAACGAAAAAGTGGAGAAATCTAGTTGCTAAATTAAAAAAAAAGCCTGACACATGATGTAACTAGAAAAAAAGCCTGACACATGATGTAACTAGAATCGATATTTCGAGGGTCCTAGATACCAAAAAATTGAATGACGGCAAAACTTCCATCTGTTCATCCATCTGTGAACAACGCTAGTTCAGCGCTATGAACCCGATTTGCTCCAAAATTGATATTCCTCAAATGATCTGGCTGGTATCGCGACCCCTTGAATTTGAAACCGGTATTTTTTATTTTGGAGGATACTTTACTTGAAGCCCCTGGGGCATTTCCAAATTTTCAAAAAATTGCGTCATTGTTTTTGATAAAATGCTTTGGTTGGATAGCGTGAAGAACGTATTAAGAGAACAGTGCAGGTCCCATGGTCGTTGAAAACCCTAATTTTTTCGAAAATTACAAAAGTTCAAGTTTTGGGAGTCCTCCTACAACTAAAATATTGAAAATGGACATTTCTTCCTTAATGAAATATGTTCCTTAAAGATAGATTTTGAAATAAAGTAGTGTATAATTTTTCGAAAATTTGAGTAATTTTTGCGTGAAAATACTGGCGATAAACTACGTGCTATTTTTTGCATCACTAGTTTATTTACTGTTAAATCATTTGACGTTGTCTTCATTAAATTTGAGATATATAATTTTAAAAAAGTTGGACCTGTACTGTATCAGCGGGGATTTTTGGACGGTCACATTTGTTTACATTCTGACATGAGTATGCATGAATTGACCTACTTCGAACTTCCAAAATGATTATACGCTGAATAAATAAATTAACACAGTTATTACCTTATTTTTGTGATTCACAGTGAATTACGTACTTTTTTCGCGCATTATTCTTTCAAAATCATCTTATGATTCGAGTTTCCTTAA